TGGAGGTTGCTATGAGCTGTAATGCCATGGCACTCTACCCAGGGGGACAGCTTGAGGCTCTGTCTCAAAAAAAAAAAAAGAGTTTGAGGTTGCTGTGAGCTATGATGATGCCATGACACTCTACCCACAGTGACAGAATGAGACTTGGTCTCAAAAAAAACTTATTATATATATATTAAGACTAGATGTCATGTGCAAAATCTCTCCCAAGGATTCTCATCATGCTGCCTGGTATTCCCAGGGCCTGGCACAGAGCTGACACTTAGTAGGTATCAAGGATACCCTGTACCCTTTCTCATTTAGTCCTAGCATATATTAAGTGCTCAATAAATGTTAACTTCCTTTTTAACTCCTGTGCCTTTAGTTTCCCAGGTATCTGCGGTGACTTCCTCCCTAGTTGCCCTTTCTTACCTTCCTTTCCCTCCCTCCCTCCCTCCCTCTCTCTCTCTCTCCTCTCTTTCTTTCTTTGACAGAGCCTCAAGCTGTCATGCTGGGTACAGTGCTGTGGCATCACAGCTCACAGCAACCCCCAACTCCTGGGCTCAAGCGATTCTCTTGCCTCCACCTCCCAAGTAGCTGGCACCACAGGCACCTGCCACAACGTCTGGCTATTTTTTGGTTGCAGCCATCATTGTTGTTTGGCAGGCTGGGCTCTATTCGAACCACCAGCTCAGGTATATGTGGCTGGCACCTTAGCCGCTTGACCCACAGGTGCCGAGTCCCTACCCTTACTTTCAGTCAACACATTCAGCACTCTGAGAGCCCAAGGTGGGTGGATAGCTTGAACTCCCGAGACCAGCCTGAGCAAAAACGAGACCCCTGTCTCTACTAAAAATAGAAAAAATTGAAGCAAGAGGATTGCCTGTCCCCAAGAGTTGGAGGTTATTGTGAGCTATGACACCAGGGCACTCTACCTAAGGCAACAGGTTTAGACTCTGTCTCAAAGGAAAAAAAAAAAAACAACCAACATACTCCAGGGGCCTAAAGAGGGGAGCAGGGCCCAGAAGTGTTGCATGAGTAGTGGATGCTAGAACTGGGTGCCCAGACCAGAGAGGAGGGGGTCTGGGAAGACACCCCTATTGTCTAGGGGCATCCTACAGACTAGTTGCCTCACCTGTGACGATTCTGGGCTCTATATTACAACCTACTTCACAGAGAAGGGAGCGCTTTCCTGTCTGGGGAAGCCCAGAGATTTCCATGTGGCGTTTCTGCCTCCCTGGAAGCGGCAAAAGGCGCCAACCCAGCTCGCAGATTTGGGCAGGAAGCGAGGACATCTGTTCCCACACGAGCTCAGGAAAGGCCGAGAACTGAGAAGGAAACGTGTGTCCTCCTTGTGGGGGGCCCTGAGAGTTGGCTGGAAGGTGTGTGCTTGAATCCAAGCCTGGGAAGGAAAGACCAGAGGGAGTGGCCGGCTAATAAGGCTGCTGGGGTGGGGAGGGGTCACCCCCGCTGTCTCAGGGGCATCCTACAGACCAGTTGCTGGTCTGTTTCTCCTCCCACCTCTAGGTTGCCTCACCTGTGGCGATTCTGGGCTCTATGTTACAATCTACTTCACAGATGAGGCACTGTAGTTCCTCATTTGCCCAGGCCCTAGTCAATGGGGGTACAGCTGATGTTTGAACCAGACGTTGTCAGATTCTGAAGCTCACATTCTCATTCTCTCTCCTTCAGAGGGTCAATCGCTCTGCCCCTGCCCGATCAGGAGGCAGCCAAATCTGTCCTGGGAAGCTCCTCTCCTCT